ATTGAGTTGCAATTGGCACTTTTGTTAAAAATCAAAGGGGACTGCGAAGGTCTACGACCGGGGATTATGATTCAGGCAGCCAAAAGCATAAAAAACCGTGTAGGAATGCAACAGCCTAATACAAACCAACCAACAGTAGTCGTCGATCTGCAAGGAGTAATTGTGGACATTGCTTCAATCAGATCAGATTTGGCCGAAATTAAATCAGTTTGCTCGGTGATTTATTTACCATTCTTCTAGAATAGAATTGAGCTTCTAGATTAGAGGAGCATTGTACTCGCGAGACTGAACAGGCATTCCCTCTAAGTCTAGACTTCAATATGATTTATTCTCCCACTGCACTCATACTGTTCGGTTGTAGCTTCTCTAACTCAAGGATAATAGCCAGTTTTGTAGATATAGAACAATAAACTAAAGGCTGTTGCTCTTAGAGCTATAGTTTTCTCCCGAACTCCCCACTATAGAAATGCATTTACGAGACTATCAATTTAAGATGGTCACGTTTTCAAAACGTATATATCCTTGTCGAAGGTGTCGTGTGGGTACCGAGTCCAGGTTTGCTCTTTGCAGTTTTCTAGACCACCATTAAGCCAATTTCCACGATGTACCAACCGGATTATCCGCAGCCATAGAGTATTCAATTAAGACTGAAGGCATGTACTATACAGTAGTTGTTGAGTTTGGGCTTCACCGTAACAAAGCACTTATATCGAAAAAAAACGCAGAAAAAGCAACGAAGTCAGTCTTCCCAGGCCATCCAGGCAGTGAACACTGGTTCGGGCCGTTGACGTCTATGCTATGACCGCTACTCTGCAAGTCGGTATCTTGGAGATTGGGGTGGTCAAAGGGGGAAAAAGGAGCAGCCCGCGGCGACGGAAACAAATGCTATTACTATGAGAGATCGAGGGGCTAGAACTGCGAGGCCCAGAAGCGAGCAGGGGGCCATGCGCGGGTAACCCACAATGGACCTGTGCATAGGAAGTGCAGTTACAGAGCACACTGGGGACTTGCTCCTCCTTAACGTTTTGTCTTTGTCCGGCTCTAATAATATCTGTTTCCACTGGGGAAATGGCAAGAGTAAGCGGGTATAAGAAAAGAAAAAGAGCTAATAGTTGCTTTTTCTAATAACTGTAGCTACCTACCCCGTTAGCGGGGAAGTTACGTAGTACAGGACTGCTGCACGCCTTATTACATGCAGCACGCCCGGCGAGTCAAAGCCGAGGGGTCAATTTGTCTGATTTGGGATTGTTGACAAAATATGCCGCTTTTGGTAGTTAAACGTTCGGGCCTGCTTCTTTGGAGTGATTTGCAGACCCAGAGGTTCGGTTCGTCGTGGTTGGCTTGCTTACCTATTCTGCTTACATGCTTTGGCTCGACATGTTTGGGGAGCACTGCTTTCTTTTCATGCACTGTAAGATTTTCACTATGCAATAATAGCATAATATCATAATAATATAAGAATATCGAAGAAAACTCGGGAGCATAGACATCCACTCACTCACTTTACTCAAGGATCTCAATGTCTCCTCGAGGGGTTCAGAAACGTTGATGCTACAGTCGAGCACGCGCCCTCTACTGTTACTGTGACAGAGGGAAAATGTTTGATAGCCTCGTGCAACGGTTGCGGATCGAAGTTCTCATGATTTAGATGGGTTTTGGCGTGACGACTGCGTTTTCTGATACTCCTACTTGTCCCAGTGCACTCCGGGAGTTTCCTCGGTCGTGCGATTAATGGTCTCTGATTATGAAGTAGCATTTGCTCCAGCCCTATTGGACCGCTTGGCAATTCCGAGCGAGTAACTGTTAAGAGTTTTGCCTTAGGAAATACTTCCGCATCGTACTCGTAATTGCGAGAAGAAATTTGTGCGTGGTTGGTTGGTTTTTCTGAGGCAGAGAAGGGCGCCTGCAGTTGAACTGTTACTGTTGTTGACTATGTGCGTTGTGGTGGTTGGATAATCCTTCAGCCGGCGACCTCGCTTAGGGTGACTTCCTCGGGGATTGAAGTCTTTCCGCGGGAGCATTTTCCTGCGCCTGCCTCAACTCTTCTTCTTTGCTCTTCTCTCGTTTTCGGTTCTGGACTCCATGTGGACGACAGAGAACCTTTTCTCTCTCGTCGAGGATAATCCTGTGGTCTTTATTTGTGCGCGCCGTTTCGCGAGGTACATAAGTGTGTGTACATGTAATGTTTGTGCAGGACGTTAGCATTAGAACACCGTGACGCCCAATGAGGAAATTCCATGCGGAGCGTCTCCCCGTAGACCATAACGGGCCTAGACCACTCCTAGGTCCGGGGTCCCATGGCGACTAATAAGCTTCCTCGGGTTCTGGATGTCTTGCCGGGCGGTGCTAGAGCAGAAGTGGCCTAGTGGCTTCGGGTACATCTGGGCACTGGTCGGAGGCCGCCAGAGATTTCACACTGAGGCAAGCTCGCACAGAACTGCCGCGCAGGGCTGGACGCTGAGATTTTGTCGTTGCAGCCGTGCTCCTAAAGCTTCCTTGGACTCGTGCGTTTTGTACCTGAAGTGGTCTGATATGTGGCGAGTGGACGTTCGCTAGCAACCCGTGACGGGGCTGCCAGTGCTCTCGGAGGGCTCCGACAGCTGCAGAAATCATGTGCAGCCAGCCCAGTAGTGGCCGAGACGCCTCTTCCCTCCATCCGCGGGGCCGTTTGGGAAACGTCTCAAAGGAGAGCAACCTCTTACATCATGGCCGAGGGTTGGGGGATTGTGATGCTGGGCGAGGGATTGCTGTCTCCGCATTCTCACTTGCCGATATTGAGCGCCTTCGAGATTATACCGGGAGCACACCTTTCACAGGATCCAGACATTCTACAAATATGTGATGCACGCCGGCTGGTCGGGTTGCTCTATCCCACAGACACACCAAAGCAAAAAGGCAAAAAGGCAACAGCCTCAGAAACAACCAAATCTTATTAGACACTTGCCCTACGCAGGCGAGCAAGATAACAAGTCGCCGAACTACCTTCAAACCCCGGCCAACACCCACCTAGGCTATATCTGCTCTTTGATCCCCGATCACAATACCCGGCCAACACAAAAATCTTTTTTGTGATAGCAATGAGCATCCGTCCTTCTCAGCCAGTATCCAGATACACACAGGTCAGTTTCCTTATTTATCCAATAAGCAATGTTAGCATGTGCTGACATAATCCTCCTCCATAGCCCACCATGTCTGAAAGCCCCGTCCTCCCAAGTTACGCCACGGACCAGTGGAACGACTTCAAGTTCGATCTTGAGGACCGTGATCTCTCCCCAGAGACCAGTCTTTCCAGCTTCGAAGGCAGCCCCGCCGAGGCTTCCTGGGACTACTTCCCTTACGATGGCTTCCACGATACCAACTTCTCCGACCCCCTTTTTGGAAAGGAGGCAGTCGCATCTGAAGACTTCAACATTACCCGGGAGGTAAAGAAGGAACCGTGCCTTTCTCCATCGGCCCTCCTTGACCTGTCTTGGTCTCAAGACGTAGCCTTACCCAGTGCCGAAGCGGCAAACGACTTCGCCCTTCCCCTATCCAACGAAGAACAAGCAAACCTCCTCGCTATCGCCATGGGCCGCAACAACGATTTTACTCTCCCACTCTCACCCATGAGCTCATATCCCACAGCTGGTTCGGTCTCCTCCATCTCTTCACGATCACCATCCCCACAGCCAAGAGCCAAGCCAGTAGCAGCTGCAGCTACTCAGCCAGCGAAACGCCCCGCAACAAGAGACGGGCCTCCAGCTCCTAAGACGAGGAAGTGCAGCCACAACGCCATTGAGAAGCGTTACCGGATGAATCTCAACGAGCGAATCCTCGCCCTCCAGAACAGCTTACCAGCACTCCGAACATCACCACTATCTTCATCCGAGGAAGAGATGGGCGTCTGCCGAAGAAAGCGGAGCAAGGCTGCCATCTTGACCGGAGCCATCGAGTACATTGCGCAGTTAGAGAAGAAGAACAAGAGACTCTCTCAACAGCTAAGCATGATGCAAACACAATGGAAGCCAAGGGTTTAAAAATAAGAAGAAGAAAAAAGCAACGAAGAAGAATAATACCCTAATTTCTGTAGAAGTCTACTTGATGAAAAGCCATTTTTACTGGGAGGTTTCTGATCGTCGGGCATGGGAGGATATGTTTTGCATGAGAAAGTCTTAAACGGGAACAAGACTTTTAACCCAACAGGAGCAAAGGGATAAGGGGGGAACTCGGAGTTTTAGGAGTTTCTTATTTTATGGTCTTTCCGATGTTTTTCCATAAAGGAAAACTTACTCCAAGGGAGGGATGGGCCATTTTTTTGCGGGAATTGAAATGACACGGCTATTTCGGGCTTTGGCTTCATGAAAAGAGCGCGCCCCCACAATTTTTTTTCTTTTTCTTGAGCTATTATTACCTCTCTCCATTCAGATATCCTAGGCAAGAATTTTTCAATTCTTTCGCCTTGAAAAAGAATTACCTTAATATAACGAGTTTTTCTGGGCCTTGCTTTTTTGAAAAGCTGGCTGATGGAAACTGTTCCGAAACAACTTCGGCTTTTTCTCGGTGTGTGAATTCTGAGTGATATGTGAATAAAAATAGTGAGCCTTGAATACAGTACGGAGTAAGCCTGCTATGTAAACGGGCGGTTCCTATTGGTCTGAGAGCCACATTTTGTCACTCATTCATCCTTCCGATGTCAGAGCAGCAGCTGCCACCGTGATGACTGCAATGCTCTAGCTATGCTCGTTTAGCTTCACTCAATTTTTGAAGATATAGATCCTGCGGTGTATAGTTGGGGAATACTACAATATTCTACCCCCTGCTTTTGCCTGGTCTGACTTTAGTTTCGACAAAAAATACATTAATTCCAATAAGTACTGATTTATCTCGAAGTACTCCCGCCATCACTATCATTCATGTCTACAGCAATCCCGAAAGTGAGTATTATCCCTATGCAGTGATCTCGTTTCCCTTTTAAAAACCCTCCCTGAGAAGAAGAGAGAGTAAAAAATATAACAAAAAAATGGGTCGAACCGGGATCGAACCGGTGACCTTCAGATATTCCAGATGGAATTCATGAAACTTGAAGTTTTACTTCAGTCTGACGCTCTCCCAGCTGAGCTATCGACCCATTTGATTGGTGGGTTGGTTACCATATGTGAGTTATATACGGAAGGGCTTTTGTGTGTGTTAGTGGTGCTTTTCGTTTAAGAAATAGGAGGGCTTTAGCCAAAAAAGTGGGACTTCGGAAGGAAAGGTTTTGGGAAAGGGCTCTGTCAAGCGAGGTCTCAATTGCTGTTCTAACGCGTCTTTGGCGATGGGTCGGGGTCTAGCAGAGGATGTTGCACGGGGAAGGTTCTCTGATGTATGAATTGTACTAAGACTGAGGTACGCTTTACGCATGAGTTGGAGGAGTGGTTCACTACGAAACACTTTGAAAAGGGGTGTCTTTTTTTGTAGGATTGACCAGCTGGCTATGTGCCATATGGGCTTGAATCTAGTGAAATATGATGCTTGAGCATATTGCCAGTAGACCTTTCTTTCTGGATTGGGTATACACGGCTGCTATCCACTGGAGCTTTCGGAAGCCTTTCCTTCTCTACGAAACCAGCTATTTCTTGGAAAGCGCCAAATACACCAGAGAAAGCAAGGAAGACCCAGAAGACATCGTAGCGAGAGAACGGAGACGTTCTTAATTCTTGAATTGCCATTTTGGTGGCTTACCTGGTAAGTACTGTACAATAACACAGCAAAAAAAAAGCGAAAGAAGTCAGAGATGAAAGAGCCAATCATATCAGCCAATTCCACGGCTCTTCGGTACCGGATAATCATTAATCCTCACCGAACCATCGTCAGACCCGCTAAGACCCGCAACTCGTCATCCGAGCCATCCTTGCGCATCAGCACTTCCAGTGTTATCGAAAGCTACTGTTTCAACATCCGCAATTCAGCCGTAATCATGGGCAGTAACGGCGAGAATATGAAAATTACGATCGATCCCCTAAGAGCGAAGGCCTTGGTGGCCAATGTGCAAGCTGTGTCCAAGCAGGTTGCGAAGGTGGCGGGTGGAAGGAATGTGAGTGAGATCTTTATCTCTACTGCAACCTTAACGAACGGTGGTGTTTGTATGAATGTGGTGTTACCGGTACATCTCTTGAGGAACAGGGGGAGACGTACAAGCAGAGATGGAGCGTGAAATCTAGATTTTCAGGGCTTTTCAGACATATTTAGCAGGGATAGGGAATATTAACGTGCTCTTTCTAGGTCCGCCTGGTCGCGGTGTCCAAGCTGAAGCCCGCGTCCGATATCCTGGCTCTATACCAATCACCTCTGGGCATCACGCACTTCGGGGAGAATTATGCACAAGAGTTGGTCGAGAAGGCATCTCTCCTGCCAGATGGCATCAACTGGCATTTCATTGGTGGACTGCAGACGAGTAAAACACGGCCCCTCCCCCCCTTCCTTCCTGCACATCATGAACCTACCGTTTTTACTGATCCGCTGAAACGTATTCACTAGATAAATGCAAGCCCTTGGCAAGCACGATCCCAAACCTCTTCTGCGTCTCCTCAGTCGACACCCTCAAGAAGGCCCAAGCGCTCGACGCTGGTCGGGCTATCATCCGTGCAAAACAGCCTTGGCTCCCGCCCTTGAACATTCATGTACAGGTCAATACATCAGGCGAAGAATCTAAATCAGGGATTACCCCTGGCGACGAGACTACAAGGCTCTGCAGAGAGATCGTCTCTACCTGCCCGAATCTCAGATTAGCCGGGTTGATGACGATTGGGGATATTGGGAGGTCGCAGGCTACGGGACAAGGGCTGGGGAATGAGGATTTTCAGACGCTGAAGAAGGAGAAGAATAGGCTGGTTGAGGAGCTGGGTGTTGAAGGCTTGGAGTTGAGTATGGGAATGAGTGCAGACTTTATGGGTGCGATTGTGGCGGGGAGTGATGAGGTGAGAGTTGGGAGTAATATATTTGGGACAAGACCACCTAAGTCAGAGGCCGTTATTGTGTAGGACGTGGGGATTTTCTTTCCAGTATTGGCTGTTGATGAGGGTGTTTATGTCTACTGGCGTCTGGAGGAAATTTGCTTAATAACGAACAGGTTGATGGGAGTCGGCAGGGTCGGAGGATTTAACGGAAGGCTGATTGTGCCAAGTGGATAGGTAGGATTCCTGTTCTTGTCCTGTATCCACATCTACAACTCGTGCTAACTTTTCTCGTCTCGGAAGCTTTCTGGTCTCACCTCAGATATGCATTGCAACCGACACGTAGATCCATATCTTAATTCAACCGATGTCTATTTTCATCCGTTGTCCTTTAGACTTTAGCCCCCAATGCCGACGGCAATTAATGTCAACAGAGCTTTCGGCCGAATTAGCCATTAGAGCAGTGATCCAATGGCTCTTGAATCTCTTATTAAACCTTCTACTAACTCTCCAGCAATTCTACTTCACCGACTTCATCCATTCACCCGGTCCTATCACGCATGCAGTATGATCCCTCTAGCATCACGTACTGCACTGCACTGTGCTGTTCTATGTGCCGCACAACGAGGCCCACAATCATATGCATACTCGCCCCTCCATACTATACCACAGACTCTATGAACAAAACAATGCAAAACCATGCAAGGAAACCCTTCTCCCAATGCAAGAAACCAAGGTCTAGATCGCCTCTATATTTGCTCCAAAATCATGCATTATGGTAATTGGTCCCAACCCGAACCCCAAACTGCACAAAGGTGGCTTGTCTAGGTACACCACACCATAACAGAAAAAACAGCACAGTACATCAAAAACACACACACAAGATAGAATATGCCATACTCTCACCGACTTTTAATCAAGAATAGCAACAAAAGTAAGAAAGAGAACATACCAAGACATACGGAGAACGTGCATATTAAGTTTTGCGCAGTATATCCCACCAAAACCCAACACGGGAAGCTAACCGCGGGCCCAATCAGGACTCCCCACAAGACCTTACATAAAACGCACCTGCACCCACACACAGCACAAAACTCCCCACATGCAAAACCCGATCCAATCACCTCGTCTTATCGGCATCTGAGATTGGCTGTATTTGTGAAGTGTGGAATCGACGCCCCGTCTGTTAGCGCTCGAAACACCCACTCATCCACATACTCGTGCCGCTAGACGCAGATGCGGGAAAAGATGAAATTCTCGGGTCTGCACTCAGACGTGCAACAAAACAATCGAGGAGCTGGTCCGGCAGTTAAAACCTTGGCAGTTGAGTGGTATGAAAAGGTGAGTGTGTGATGGGATGCCGAGACGGGTGCTGCCGTCGTGGTGGTTGGTCGGGCGTGGCTGCGCTATGCCTAATTCGGACACTGATCTCGATTGGGGATCTGCGCGGGCGTGGTGGTGCCATTCCACTGCATACCGGGTACAAGTATAAAAAGTGGAGATGGCAGGCACGGAAAGTAAATGCGGTTTGGGGTTACATTGGAACTTTAGTCATCGAGGTCATCTTCAAAGCAACGGTTAGACATTTACAAACCCTTTATACTACTGTATCTAAGGTATTTTCTTTAACAAATAGCATGGGTCTTACCAGTCTTGCCCTGCAAACTGTGCTGCTCCTTCTTGAACTTGGAGTGACTGTGGCTAGCCTTATGTGAGTGTGAGATGTGGCTCTTGACAAACTCCTCCTGCTTCTTGATGGCCTCTCGGTCCATCGTATCAAGCAACTCCATGCAGAGCTTGATGTCGCAGATCAGGGAATCGCATCGGGACTTGGTGAAATCTTCTCGAACAACGACTCTCAACATCTTCATGCCCTCGGTGTTTGGAGCCATGGTGTACGCTGGCACGACCCATCCTCGGGATCGGAGGTGGTGGGCCAGGTTGAACTCATCATAGTTCCTGTTGTCACTTTTCTTGAGACGGAAGGCTACGAGTGGGAGACCGCTTCCATTTTTCTCAGACATCAAAGTGAAGCCGAGGTCTTCGAGCGACTCAGCGAGGTAATCTGCGGTTCGGGTGAGGTTAGTCATGATCGAGCGGTATCCTCGCTTGCCAAGACGAATGAGCTGGTAGTACTGTCCAATGACTTGAGAAGCACCCTTGGAGAAGTTGAGAGTGAAAGAAGATTGGTTAGCACCCAGGTAGTTGATATTGAAAACTAGTTCCTCTGGGAGATACTCTGGGGCTCTCCAGACAACCCATCCTACACCAGGGTATACAAGTCCGTACCTACAAGGTGTGCATTAGCATGATTAGGGATAGCTAGGAAGTATCGCAATAGAGAGGTACGCACTTGTGACCGCTAACGTTAATGGAAACCACCTTCTCTAATCTGAAGTCCCATTCTAGATCTGGAACCACAAATGGTGCTACGAAACCGCCGCTAGCGGCGTCGACGTGAATGACGGTGTCAATGTTCTTCTCGATCAAGAGATCGTTGATAGCCTTAACGTCCTCATATTGTCCGGTGTATGTTGTGCCGAGGATGGCACAGATACCAATGGTGTTCTCGTCGACTAGGTTCACAGCCTCCTGGGGATCGATGACATATCGGTCAGGCGTGCAGTAGACGAACTTCTCCTCGACTTCAAAGTATCTGGCCGCTTTTTCCCAGCAGACCTGCACTGCAGAAGACATGATAATGTTTGGCTTATCAAATGGCTTTCCGGCCGCCTTACGAGCGTTCTGCCAACGTTTCTTCATGGCGAGAACGGCAAGCATAATAGCCTCCGAGGAACCAATAGTGGAAGTACCCATGGGATTGTCGCCTTCAGTCTCAGTGGGCGCATTGAGGAGACGGCCAATCATTGATACACATCGGTTCTGTATATCGGCACTCTGGGGGTATTCTTCATAATCGATGAAGTTCTTGGCGAACGACTCTGTCATGAGGTCCTCGGCTTCTTTTTCCTGCTTGTTTATCAGCTTCGACGTTCTATGCAGAAAATTGGCTTTTATTTGCGCCCGTGCTACCGGAGTAGCAATTCACATCGGCTTGGCCTAGATTAGGCGGAAGAGACGAAGACGAAGCTAGAACGCACCATATACGTTGTGACAAAGGAAGCGAGGCTAAAAATTGGTGGATCAGCAACACGAAGCCGCCATGGGGTTTCAAAGCATGATATCATACTTGAGC